AAACAAAGGGAAAACAAAGATAAAAACAAATAAGAAGTTAACTAGACCACTTTCGTAGGTAACTCGATTGCATTGAGCGTATGCAACAAGCCTTTAAACCTCTAGGCATCCCTAGTAGGAGGAGTTGTGTCTCCTGAGGGTTTAACAGATACGATACCCACAAATGTTTTACTAACTCTACAAAACAAGTGGTTAGAAAACTTATTAGATTTGTTAGTCCTTAAGCAAAACAAAAAAAATAAAAAAATAAAAACGTTAACCTTCCAACCAGGCAGAAATATTAAACTTCATAGACATGGCTCAACAAGGAACAAAACAAGCACTAAGTTCTAAACATTATTCAAGTGCTACCCCAATCTCACAAAAATCATGCTCAAGGTGTGTGTATGAAGTAGCCATGAAGATAAAACTCATGCTTCTCAAACAACGATATGAATTCCTGCAAGAATGAACCCAAGTTTGCCAAGCTAAACCAAGATCAATAGGACTTTACTCATGGCTGTAATGCGGTTATGGTAATGGTTAGACAAAGAATGGATATTGAAACACAAAGTCTATGGAACAAAGTAGAGCATGTCATATAAACAAGATCATTGACATTTGACATGTAAGGCACATAATTTGAAAAGCTCACAACACCAGATTTTGCAATTGAATCACTTCACAATTTGATTTTGACATTTACACACTTTGTATAATATTTGGCCCAATTTTGGAGCTCTTTACCCTAGATCACCTTGATTTCTCCTTATATCACCCTAGGGTCGTTATTACATTGGCCACACTTCTTTTCTCTTTTTCTTTTGATTTTTTTTTAATAGCTCATTTATTGCCTTGAATACATTACAATCTCAAATACAATCATACTCTACATGTCCCCTAGATGGTAGGATGTTTAATGGATGATAAGGTGATAGAAAGAAATGGCTAAGTGTTTGAGCACAAAGGGGTTTACAATGGAATATGTATTGTATGGGTTGATGGAGGAAAAAGAAAGAGGCTTAACAAAGATGGCCTAAATCATATCTTAGTTATAAACTTGACATTCCAGTGAATCACACAAGCAAAAATGCATACAATTGGGTAAGACATGCAAGAGGTGTATAGTCATGGCTTAGGTGCATAGAAAGCGCTCAAGAATAATTATGTGAGACTTAGCTAGCAAAAGAATAACATTCATACCTAACACAATGCTTATCAAATTCCTAAGAGCCATTTTAGAAGTTAGACTCAAGATTTATCATTGGTGTGGGAAGGAAAACTGAAAATGACTCAAAGAAAAGAAACAAAAAAAAGAAAAACGTGAGGTTTTAAATTGCTGTTTTGCTCAATTTCGACATATCATCTGTTTTGACATACAACTTTCAAACCACTTGGTCAAATTTAATGTTCTTTATGTCGTTGGGTTCAGCATGAAAAGAATGAAGAACACAACGTGGACCAAACTTTCAAAACAGTAGCAGAACAAAAAAAAAATTGTAGTAATGAAGAAGCCTACGTTTTCAGACACTGAACACAAAAACTAAAAAAAAAACTTCCTGCACCCCCAAACTTAAATGAAGCATTGTCCTCAATGTTTGAATCCATGTAAAACATGCAATGCACATGAAATCCAAGGTAAAGGAATGAAATGAAAGAAATAAAAGAAAGAGAGTTTAGAACTTCCCCTTGAAGACAATGAGAGGGTAATGCACATAGTATGGCAGCACATGTTCTTCTTTGAGTATTTGGGTCAGCTGCTAATCATGTTTCTCCCACATCAAGGAAAAGAAAACCCTAACAAAAATTAAACAGAAAATGAGACAAAACTAAGCATGAGTACGTAGCAGTTATTATACAAATGAAAGAGATATGATCGGAATGCTTCCCTTTGAAGTGTTTAGCTGGAGCGTGGTTGGCCATAGCAGCTGGAGGTCGACTTCTCCGCTACTCCATACTCCTTGTTTCTATGGATTGGGTTGTCTCCTCTCTCTCCCGCTTTCTTATTGAGCTACTTCAGAAATGCTTAAAGAAAGACAAGGAAACTTGAAACAGAATTTCACATTTATTGGATCAGGAAATCATAACTTAAATGAAAATGATAAACTAAACTAAAACATCAAGATTAGGGATTCAACTTCACCACAAACATCCAATTTCATGCTTCAAAGTAACAAGTATCAAAGTAAATCAAACTAGGTTATGGAGTTCGTTCTTTCTCAAATATGATTATCCATATGGTGTGTGGTTTTAATCAAGTATTCAGAAAAAATATTTAGCTATGGTGTTTAGTCTAAACACAAATTCCGAATCCATTAAGAACAAGAAGAAAAATAGAGAACCAAGTAGACTTTAAACATGGTGTTTGTCTTCAATATCTACCCATTCATTCACTAATCAGTCCAAGAGTCATATGGTGTTTATGTAAACTTGAACAAGATAATTAATTAAGAGCAAGTGAATGAAACCAGAAACTAGCAATAATCAACATGCTACTTGAACCTTTTTTTTGTATTGTGTAAGCTGGGACTCAAACCCAGTTCTCTTGCTTGTCAGGCAATTGTCCTTGTCCGTTGGACTACAAACACAAATTGTCAATTAACGTCATTAACTTTAAAACATGAAACTGTCCAGTTATGAAAAATAAACTAGGAAAACCAAATAGAATCAAGCGATGTTACCAATCCCCGGCAACGGCGCCAAAAACTTGTTGCGTCGATTCAGCTGCACCAAAATGGATTCAGCTGCATCCTCAACTTGTGATACTCACAAGTGCACGAGCCGTTGGTAGTTTAGTGTATGCAAGTGCGAGGTCGATTCCACAGGGATTGGTGATTGAATGATCCAATTCAGTTTTCCTACACAAAACAGAAATGAAAACACAAAAAAGCAAAAAGGTTTTGTACAACACTTGAGAACATGGAGAGTTTGGATGAGAATAGAGAAGTGTTTGGGAACGTAGGGAAGGGAGAGAAAGGTGTTTGTGAAGTGTTTGAGAACATGGAGACTTTTGGAAGAGAAGGGAAATGTGTTTGGGAAATTTGGAGAAGAGAAAGGAAACGTGTTTGAGAACATGGAGACTTTTGGAAGGGAAGAGAGAGGTGTTTGAGAACTTGGAGGATGTTTGAGAACTTGGAGAATGTTTGTGAACTTGGAGAATTGTGGAAGAGAAATGAAAAGTGTTTGAGAAGTGTTTGAGATTTAGTAAAAGGATCTTGTTACAACAATTGAGAACTACAAGGGAAACTAAGAGAATTTGAGGGAGAGAAGGGAAGGGAGCTCTAGAGAAGTGTTTGAGAGCTCCCCCCCTTGGGGTGTGTTTACAAACTTAGAGAACTTCCCTATTTATAGGCCTAGGGGGAAGTGAAAATCTGAATATACAAGTGAGTTCACTAACCACACTAACTTCACCTAACACACAATTACAATTGAAAACAATTCTTCTTGTCTTTAAGCTTAGTGTTGTAGCTCCCACTTCATCTTCTTTTATTTCCTTTGGCTGCTGCAAAAATCCACTCAAATTATAAGTAATGAATCTGCATCACCTAACTTCCCCACAATCAATAACACCTCATGCATATGTCATGCATGACAATGCATTGCAGTCAGCTTGTGGGCTCGTTTTGGGCTTGTGGCTCCATTCTGAAAAATCTGGAAAAATATGGATCTTGAAGCTCTTTGAATTATCTTTTCAAGTATATGCAGCCCAGCTCAAGGAAAAATCAGAAAGCCCTTCAAATGTGATATTTGGCCCAGTAACGCAGATGCTGCCGAATTTGACCTTAAGTTGCCAAAACTTGTATAACTTTCTCTAGAAGACGCGGAATCATGAACCGTAAAATTCTCCAGAAACTAGACTTCCGCATCTTTCCAATGATGTATGGCTCGTTATCTGGTTTTTCTTGAGCAAGTACAGTCCAATCCGTGAAGTTGACTGATCTGCTATCACCGTTTTGAGCTAACTTGTCTCCAAAATGCATTTAATGAGTCTCAAAGCTTATTACACTGAAACAAACACAAAAGAAATTAAAAGCACAAGTTTAACTCAAAAACATAACCAAATCATAAGTTAGAAGAGTACAAAATGATATGTAATTATGCACCGATCAGGTATAGATTTCAAATTCATATCTAAGCCTTACAAATTCATATAGTTTAAAAAGGATGGTAAAATTTATAGTCCAAAATCCACTTGATTCCAAATTAACCCTTTTTTTCAATTAGGAAAAATAGCCTTCATTGATACTGGAAAAAACCAAGTACAATCACCAAGAAAAACTGAGATGGTGCAGTTCTCCTCCTTTGGGGATTTTTTTAAAATTGAGATGGTTTAATGAGGCTAAATAAACCCATTTTATTACAAATATGGTTCTGAACTGGCCCTGGTTTTGGATCATATTTCAATCTGATTTTTTTTCCAGACATGTGTCACTTTTGGGCCTTAAATCGATTCCCATGCAAATAGATGGTTTCATAACCTGATTATATTCCGATTTTGATAATTCATTACCCTAATAAAATCAAGTATTTTTAGTAAAATATTAATAAATGAATTATGAATGAGTTTTTTTTTAATTGTGGGTGAGAAACTTTTGGAAATAAAGAAATAAAGAAAAGAAAATTGACTATGAATGTTAATTCTTGGTTTTTTAGAAATTCAATTCGGGGCAATATGTACTTCAGTTCATACCAGACGTTTTCGGTTAGATGGTTGAGTTTTTGTGTAAGATTCAAACTCTGATTTGCTTTTTTCTTAAAATAAGATGTTTGAGTTTCTCGTTATTTTCCTTTCTCCAAGACCAAAAGCTGAAAATATTCTGTCAACTTAAAATTTTGAAATTCTTCTTCATCAATTTTTTTTTTTGAAATTCTTGACAAGGAAGACGAAATGAGTAAAGGCAATTGAAGAATTAGAGACGGCGAGAAGCTCTGCAGCATCCATAGCCTGGTCAGCTATCAGCCTGTATACACAACTGAGCTGAAGTATGATAGAGAAATATTTCATCTGAATTTATGTGATGTTTTCTTTATTTTTTCATCCGCAGGGTGGAAATTACGAAGAAAGGCTAGTTCGTGCATAAAATTCTTAATGGTGGCTTCAATCATAAGTTACAAATCTTATCACACTCCAATACAAATTATTGTCATTGCCCTGTACTTTCAATATAATTTCACCTACACATAACTCAACCTTATAGGACAATAAGTTGTTTGGTTTAAACCCTGAGGATCAACACTCTGCCATAGGAAACACAGATCCAATTCTGTCTCCGAAGCGATAGCATTTGATGTTAACTTGGTATGGACCTAGCCCAATATGGTTGTCCTCTCCACCCATGAAGAAACACAGGGTGTACAATGCAATTTCGAATTCTGGGCTCACTCCAACTAAAGTGCTTGATACAGCTTTCAAAACACCGTTCCATTCGAATTGGATCGTGAGCAACTGGGTTTCAGAGTCTGGCTGCAATTTAGTATACATAACACTTTCCAAGTCAGAGCAGGACAAAGATTCATATTCAAGCATGGCAGGTTTCAAAAGAAATATAATATGATGAGATGATGCTAAAAGTTCAGTTATTTCCCCATGGGGCAGCAAAAATAGGGAAGCCATTCGTTAATACAATTAGTACCATAAATTGAACATAAAAGGAAGTTCTATTCGAAGCTAAGCTTTGAATTTGCTTTCACAGTAATGAATTCTTCAAGAGTCTCAACAAGATTATTAAGATATTTAATGTTAAAATATGATTTAGCATGTTTGTTAACACTGGAAATAGAAACAAAAAAGAAAGACAAATATCTTTGCGCAAGTCATCAACGCACAACCTCAAGTCTCAAATTGTGAGACCTTCATGAGTTATTCTTACATCTTTCTACAGTGGGAATCAACTCTGAGAAGTCATTGCATTACTGTATCATTTACTTCTCTGTTAATAATTTCTTGAATGTTTTGTTACTTCATATTCCATAAGGAGTTCAGTTAGACATAATATCAAAATTAAATACCCTTAAATGTGATGCAACAAAGTGTAAGAGAGCTTAAGTAATCCCATTTCCACTATCTTGTAGCCTTGCAGTCAGAACACTGTACACAATTACTTACAGTTTGCCCACGTCGACGGGGGAAAATATGACCTTGATAGTCAACCCTTCCTTTTGCTTCTTCAAGATAAAACTGGAAAGATATAGAATAAAGATACTTAGCATTCACTGAGTAAGACAACTTTAGATAGATGGGGAGAAAAAAGAAAAAAAAAAAAAAAAAAAAAGAGGCATGAAAATAATACCAAACACACATCTCAACTAACATCATATTTAGGTTGACATGCCAAGATACAATAAAAATGCAAAATATAGGTAAAGAATAAGTCATAGAAGACAACCTGAAGCCAGTTGTGGAAGCCCGAAACCTCATCTTCACCACGTTGCTTAATTTCTCCAACAAAAACGTGTTCAAAAGCAGAGGAGGAAGCAGATGTACCACCACGGCCATAAAGATCAAACCAGAGAGTGGTCAATGTTCTTTTAAAATCTTGATAGCTCTCAGATAGAATGCCCTTTCGTGAGAGATACTTGTGAAGATATTTAATGGGAGCAGTTCTGCTGATTTCTTCTATGAATGCAGCCTGCTCTTGCTTCTCCTCAGATGTGATAACTTCTTTGCACCCCTCATTTGGATTGTAATTATCTAAAAGAGAACAGAAACGAGAAAAAGTAGGTCTCCTGAATATATCTTCACTCAGCCAGGTAAATAAGCTGCCTTCTGCCAAATCTTCCTTTTGGTAGACCTTCTTCCCTCCACCACAGTCAATTTCATAGTCCTTTCCAGGCACTAAACGGTTTAAATCAAGTTCCCAGATTTTACTGCAAGCTTGTGACAGATCAGAAAGCTCTTCTTCAGAAGGTTCTATTTTAGCACCTACTTCAGCCTCATCAGAGTACTCTTGCTCGGTGGAAGGCCGTTTATATCCATTCCACTGGCCCATCTGAATCTGTTGATTTTTTATTTAGCGAGCATTACATAAGGAGATTACAAATTCCCTTTTTTTATAAACTTAAAATTAATAAGACAAGACCTCTAGGAAATAGAATAGATCAGAATGTCATGAACTTATCATATTGCATAGTCAACAAGGAAAAAAAGGAAAAGTAGCAGAAGTCTGTAATTCATATAATTCAAGATTAATTTCTAATAACTTCAACTCAATAGAAGTACAAGTTAGTTAATGCCCTACATGGATATTGGATGAAACTGTTTCAAGGCTACAAGCCCAACTTATCTAGGAAAACATAAAATGCAGCTAAGAAGCCAATCTACTGAAAAAACAAACTATAACCCAACATCAAAAAGTTAAGACCAAACTTTTTGACAGTTTACAGATTATGCTGCCCCCAGATAATGAAAATGGAACCAATATCTGTAGGTGCCTTTTTGATGTTTGATAAACTCAAACGAAGAAAACAAACCTTGTGTGGTTGTTGCCTGGGAGGCCTCTTTCCAACAGTCTCCCAGCCATCCTTATTTTCCTCTTCATCCTTCAACATGGATGATAAAAATATAACCAAAATGTTCGAAATGAATCCCACTAAATTAAAATTGATAATTAGTATAAGACAAACCTTCCTGCTTGAGTAGTTTTGGTTATAACCATGTCGTCCATCATCATCATTCCTTTCATATCCCTCATGTGCAGCCTGCATTTGAGATATCTGTGAGGATATGACACACGAAGAGATAAAAATGACATTGAAACCCACAAAACAAAAAGGTCACTTAAGTATGATGATGAAGATGATAAGTTCTTTCGAAACCACGAATACTTTCTTGCATTATATCATCCATATGATAACCAATAGAGAAGCCTGATCCTCTATGAAAAGGAAGATTATCGTTAAATTTCATTGTTCCTTATGCTTCAGTCATTAAATTTTGGATATCATGTACAAAAACCTGAGGATGTTTACTTTCTAGAAAATGGGTTCTTCAGATTTAGAACAATGATCTTCAACAAATCCAAATCCCATAACAAAAATTTCAAACAAATAAGTAAATTAACTACTTAAAATATACAATTCACCTTGTGGGGTCGCCTTGAAGGTTCCGAATCCACATTGTCCCACTCTGCACGCCCCAAATGACTCTGTTCCTGCAAGTTTTCACACTTGCAGTTCACATTAATTTCACAGTAAACAAAACCAAAACCCAAAAACCCCAATGCAATCCAAACCAAACCTGTCGATTCCAATGACTCTGCTTGGACCCATGTGGGCGATCACTGCCATTCTCATCTTGCTCCTCCCCGGACACTACCTGCGCATTTTAGCAGGTACAAGCAACACCAAAATTCAACTCTTTAACTTGTGATCTAAGATCGAGAAATTCAAAATGCTTTTGAAAAATAAGAGTGGTGGTAGCTTACCTGCGCCCAGGTGGATCTGGACTGTTCCTCCTGGTCCCGTGGGCCCGGATCTTCATTCCTGTTCTCGTCGTGACCGAGCGCCACATCGATCAAACCCTTGATCAGACCCTCCATTGAATTTCACAGATGGAAAGGTGAGAGAGATCTGAAAGGTTGAAGAAGATGAAGAAGGTAGTTAGGAGTGGAGTGGCGGGTAATGGCAACTTTGTAAATAAGGAAAGTGTAAAGTGTAATGATTGGATTAGATTGGATTTGGATTGGATTTGGCATTTTTGGGTCAACGATTTAATAACCATTTTGTTAAACAACAAAAAATTATTGTTATTTTGGATATTTTTTAAAGAGCATTACTTGGTTCCTTCAAATTGAAGAGCCAGACTTTTTCCTTTTTAATTTTAATATATTTTTATATTTCATTAAATTAAAAATGGAAGAAAATCATCATGCACTTTTTATTTGAAAACATAAGTGTAGAAAACTTAATAACATTTTTAATTAGGATATTCTGTGAGGTTGTTAATTAGGATATTCAGTTGTAAGAGCTCAAGATCGCAATTATAATATTTTGCTAATTGAGGTGGTACGATCTCATTGTGAATATTATAATAAGATTGTGAATATTATAATAAGAAGTCAATATAACCCCCTCAATCAACACGGATAAGAGTGTCGGCAAATTTGGTGGTTGCCATACAAAGCATTCATTGCATTTTTTGAAAGGCTTTTCCTTCCTTCAAACCCAAAACTCGAAACACGCATGTGTTGACACTTGGCACGGGCGAACCACTCACATGTATGCGTGGGGCAGCTTCCAGTCCCCAGTGCACTTGGCAGGGGCACTCACATATTTTTTTAGTGTGTAAAAAGTTAAAATGATTTCACATATGTACAATCTTATTAAAAAAATAATCAAGAAAAGTATTACTGAATATTGGAAGGAATTGTATTTGCTCTTGTGGTTTTTACACTGACAGAACTTTCTCCCTCTAATAACTCTTCTAATGGATTATAGAGAGACATCATAGTGATACAAGCTGCCTCAACTATCAGATGCAAATTGCATAAAAATCCATAACAAGAGAGAAGACATGCTATACAGTACTATACACTCAGAATTTGACATATGATCAAGCCCTTTTTTTTTCTTTTCTTTTTGGTTGAAATTTAACTAGCAAAATTTGGAAAGGCCTTACAATATAAACCCACATTTCAGGTCTCTTCTAGTGAGTCCAATAGAGGCTGAGGATCATCAAGAACCCTCATAGGTTTCCAGTCAGATTCTTCCTTAGCTTGTCTTAGAGCCACAAAGTGAAGAGCATCGCTGTGGACTTGATAAATGTGGCACGCCCACGGGTAAGAATCTGGAGCCGACCAAACCTTCTGCTCTTCAAATTCCGTCTCTTCAGCAAGTGATTCAGCTATGCAGTACACTACATCAAGTTCAGGTTCAACAAATCTAGCCACCGCAATGCATCCAGGAGATACATATCCCTCTGGAGCCCGAGGATACCAAATCGATATCGGTGTTGTGTAGTCATCCATGCAGTTCCTCCATACCTGCATATGAACATGTATTAACCATTTATATAATAGATTACCAAAGAGAGGTCATCAATATTTGACCGGGAAAAAGCCATTCTATAAGGGCATGTTTGGTAGGCCTCACTGGACTGGACTGGGTTAATTAGCACTTAAAACCAATGTTTGGTGAAAGGAGGGACTAACTTAAATGAGATTATATAGTCCAACAGTACAAAAAATGCCTCACTCACGGTTCTCAAAATAGCGAGCTCGCTAAACAAAACACGCGAGTCTGAGCCAACGCCTCTTTCTCTCTCTCTCTCGTTTCCTTCAACATCGAATCTGCTCTTCTTCGAAGTTGTACTCAGGCAAGTTTTTTTTATCTCTCCCTTTACATTTCACTCTGTCTGCAAAACCCTGTAGCTCTCCACTCTCATTCTCTTCCAATTCCCTTTCGTCCTTAACTCAGAAAATGAAAACAGAGATGCCTTAGAAGATGCACAGTTCGAGAGCAGCAGTGGGTCTTCTTCTCAAGGCAGTCTCCAACAAGAACAACGCTTATTATCCATTTTACCGCAGCAGTGGGCCTTAGAAGATGTCTTTCAGCTGCTTCCACTGATCGGAGCGGAGCGCAGCCATCATTCTGGTAATGGCCAAAGAAGAAGAAAGGGATCAATAAGATCCCAATTGTGTTTTGGGCATTTTGGTGTTTTTTAATTTTAATTTTGTGGTGTGGTAATTGGTTTGTGAAAAGTTTTGGTGTGGGGCTAATTGGGTTTATTCTGTTTTTCTCTTTGGAAATTTGGAAAGAAAGACAGAGCGAGAGAGAGAGGAAGGCAGAGATGTGAAAGAAAGGCAGAGTGAGAGAGAGAGAGGAAGGAAGAGGAAAGAAGAGAGAATGGGTTTTTTTTCTCTTTTGTAATTTTTTTTATAATTTAATAATTTTTATAAAAAAAATTTCACACATCAGCCCCAATTAAGGGCTAATTAAATTTAAATATTTTTTAAAGTCAAAATCCCCAATTAAATTTAAATATTACAAAAATGATTTTTTAGTCCGACACAACACCAAACATAGGTCTTCACTATTTTTACAATCCAGCTCAGTCCGACACAACACCAAACGTAGGTCAGTACTTAATCCAGCTTGGGCCAATCCGAGCTAATCCAAGACAGTCCCAGGACTTAGTCCAGTCCATGACAGTCCGCCGTACCAAACGACCCCTAATAGGAACCATTAAGCATATCACAAAACTTCAAGCTGCATCGGACTCATCATAGTTCAATGCCCTAACTGGAGTGATAAGACTATATTGAACAAACTTAATCTCAATCCAGATCATGACTACACGGTCTATGTGTAGTTTAAAATGAGTGAAAGATTTATGATCAGATTTTCCAATATCCCCAACTTTCATTCCAATTGTTGTTATGTAACAAATCAAATGATGTTTTGACTATTTCACACGTGACCTGACTATATATGAAAAGAAAATATACATATTTCAACTGAAGATGGGGGCACAAGAAAACACCACAATTCATCGATTACTCTCCCAGGAAGTTATATTGAGAGGGATGACCTAGAAATGTTAACAATCCTAGAGACTAGCCTAACTAGGTTATACCCAGACGAAAAACAAACCTAACCAGGTTTTACATTTGTGATTTAATTATAAATTTCTTACCAGGTCATAACCAACTGGAGGTGCAAACAATCTGGCAATCTTACGGTAAACTGCGGCAACGTTTGGAGGATGGCTGCCAATGTGAGCAATATCACCAATGGAGACATACCTTGAAAAAAAAAAAAAAAAAAACAAGTTTCTCAAACTTAGCAAGGTTTGGTAACAAGTAGCCTTTAAACAGTGTCCTAGCGGCTCAAATCATGTCCTGACAGAAACTTGGGGGTCTTTTAAAGCAAATGTCAACATTCATATAAATATTAACAAAGAAAGAAACAACAGCGCTTTAATTGTGGCAACAGAGAATTCACATGAAAAGTCCTCCAAACTAAAAAGTCCTATGACTAATGCATAGAAAGATGAAATTATAGTCAGGAAAGGATTCTACAACTTGGCCATCAAGAAATTGAACTGCACAAGTATTGGCATTCAAGATCTCACACCAAATAATAAATAAAAATATATAGTCACTGATAAAAATAGAATTAAATGCAATAATCATTATAAGGTTTTCAAGAAAAATAGAAAACAAAACAATGATCATAATTACCCGTCTGGACAAATGGGTCTCCAAATGCTACAGATTCCACCATCTCCCGAAACCTGAACGTATGAAATAACGTTTCATCTAAGACTGCTCCACTGCAGGGTTCTAAACTCTTGACCAGAAGACAATAAAGTTCCAAAACTGGACACAGGTACAGCAGGATGAACACTAAATTACCTGCTTTCTGCACAATGTGCATCGGCCTCTGGATTCTTGTTCACTGCTCCAAATCTTAGAAAAGTTAATACTGTGTTTAACAAATCTCCTACCATCCAATGCAGAACCGTCTGATGGGAGCTCTCTCAGCCTGGTAATGGCCTTGTTCGGTAAACGATATTCTCTCCCATCAGCTTCAGACCAGGAAAAGTACACATGTCGCTGGCTTGATGGAACCTGAGAATAGAGAATCATATTAGGGTTTGGTATATCGTACCTCCTCTACAGGAATTAATACTTTTGTACACTATTGACCTTCAGAATTATGCTTTTCATGTCAGACTGATATGCTTTCCACATCTTGCGTACTACAGAACAGATCTTAACAGCTTGGGGTTCTCGTCTCTCAGTTTCTTCTTCAACACTGCACTTTATAACCCGTACAAAATTTTCTGATCTCCTAAAATTTTTGAGGTGGAGGATCAAGTGAGATGGCTGATTGCAGCCTGCTTTTGCCAACTCCACGGCCATAAGCTCTTCCCAAGGTACATCCCACATGATCTTGCAAGGTTTCTTATCCATTTTGTCTGGAGCCAAACACTAAAAGGGAAAGAAAAGAGACTGAATGTCAAGCAGACAAACTTGGTAACATACAACAGAGGTATCTATAGGCTATAGCAAAGACTGTTACTAACCTGAAGCAGCATGACTCGCTTATTGGTCACTAAAACAATTCGTTGGTAAGGCACAACAAAATGATCTTCATAATAATCAGACCAAGCAAACTTTGAGGGCTCCTTGAATATTTCAGTACAACCAAAATGCCGATGTGCTTCTGCAAGGTATAAAATCATCTACGAAAAAAACAAATAAAATAAAAATAAATAAGAAGTGTACATTAAGATAATAGTGACTGACTAAAGCTACACTCCTTTTCCTGAAAATGATAGACCTAGCTAACTTCTTTTGGGTTGAAGCAGTGCCAAACCAAAATACCAAACACTCACAACTTTTGCAGTTCAGAGGGTAAGAATTAAAAGATACTTTTCATTTATATTTCATACAACATGTATTTCAAGCTTTTCAACAATGATTCATTAAAGTTAAGAATAAAAATCACAAAAACTCCATAAGGGCTTCATCCTGAACTTTTAACCATCTCAGGCTCACAAAAACCAAGCCATCAAATATTGTATGGATCCTGTATCCAACTCACTCAGACTCGCAGCATTACTAATGCAAATAGTTCCATCCATCACTCAAGTCAACCTTCTCACCAGTCAACTCTCATCCTCTGTTCTGAAGTTTACAAAGTTAAGAAAAGGCTCATAGTTTCTCCGGCTAATGAGAGATAAAATTTCTAGTATTGCACATAGAATTTACGTAAAAGCAGTAACAAATTACCTGCCCAACAGCTTCTCTCTCACAATACTCTCTGAGTACAGCATCGGCCCGGAAAGCTCGGGGATTTCTAATTCTCTGGAAGGTTGTTTTGCTATTAAAAACCTCTAAGCATTTGGAACAACTTGCTCCAATTCCATCAACAGTCAATGAGAAGAAGTCCAATGCCCCACTGACTGGTTGCACTATCACTCCCACGAAAGCACGTCCAAGCCCATGAACAAGTCCTAAAAACCCATTCTGTCTAGCACTCTCTACAGGTTTTTTCACTACTCCAGACACCCCAAAAGCAACACCTTGCACAAGTGCTTCTGTACCTTGCATAATTCCATCACCCACCCCAGTTATTCTCCTTGATGATACCTGAAACCATGTCAAAATTAGCCTCTTGTAATAGAAATGAACTGCTAATTTTTCTTTCTTTGTTGTTTTCTAGGTTAATATGAGAACTTACCTGCTTCGAACGTAGTTGCATAAATTGTCCATCAGTTGACAACTCTGCAAACCCTTTACTAAGAGATGCCAAAGTTGAACTTGTCATACCAAGTACATCAACCGCAAATATCAAATGTAAAGGATTATGGATCAGATCTCTCCAAATACGGTTACCAATGGCAGAAACAATGGAACTCTTCCGCATGAATCTGTCTCGATGCATCACCCTTCTAAGATGCACCTGCAGCAATGAGATATTAGTGTCATGAGCATAGCGTCAATCCCAATATTACCCTACAAAATAGATTGGAAACGTGTTAAGTCTACATATCATTTGGCCATACGAATTGCTGCAAATTTAAGAATACTTACAAACGTGAGTAGGAAAAATTGAAAATAAAAAAGTCAATACAAAAACTGGAGAAAATCATAGCATTCAACTATAGAACCACCCAATATGCACAGTAAAAACACCCAGATAAGCCAGAGAGCTTACCTGAATCTTGAACGCATTTCCGACAGCTGATAGTATTGGACTCCACACCCCTAGAACCCCATGAGGTCTTTCAGCCGGCGCTGTTTCCAATGCGACCTTCAGCCTAACTTCTGAAACATCTATTAGGCTGGAAAGAAAGGAGGAAAAAGATTAAGGAAATGTCACTCCCATAATAAAATCACGGAAGATTAAGTTCCTGCTAGTTGACAATATAATTCTATTTCCCATCAGTAGACAGAGTTATAAAGTTTGCCGGCCACTTGCAATATAAGTAGAAAGATGACACTACTAATTCTAGATGTACTATTGCAACACGTATACTATACTTTGTTTAGTAGGTTTGGGGAAACCCAATAGTTGACGGGCAGCAAAGACAGAAAACTACAACCTGGCAACGAGAGGGTTGGAAAAAGAATTATGACAGTACCAATCCAAGGGGTAAAAAATACGAAGGAACTGAGAACCCTCACAAGAAAAGGAAACATAATTAATATTATTGCAAATGACATGGATATGGACCAAGTTTATTAATTTGCACATAAGTATTATAAACTGATATAGAGTTTGAACACGAAAGTTGATTTTTAATAAATAAAAAAAGCCAAAGCCTTGGCATATGCACTTAACCACCCAAAAATAAGGATGGTGGTGAAGGAGAAAGCACAGTTCACTTCAGCACACCAGAATTATATCACTGCAGGTCCAATGAATTGCAGTTTTTCAGGACACAAAAACAAGTTGTGATACTTACTCAATGCGTAATTCAGGATCAACTTCTGTGACACTAGAACTTTTAGGTACACGATCTAACTGTAGATTATTGTAGAAATCCACCAATGCCCAAATTATTGGTTCATGAATATTAAGCCTCCAACACTTCTCGGTTACCTATCATGTCATCATAAAATTTGGTCAGAGCTTGGGCAAACACCTCACTGTTGCAATTGATACAGACCTTTTAGGCATCGTGTTAAAAAGAATTACCCGTATATAAACATAAGGGTACACCTGGATACCATCAATATTTTCATTACGCATTGTTATTGTCATCTTGAACACTGGATGATGCAAGGCAGAGTTCATTTCAGGAGCCAACAATACTGGCATCAATGTTAGAGGAAGCTGGTTGTCCAACTGCAGATGGCCCAATATGAGCTTGAACCTGGCAGAAAGGAACACGAATGTTTGGTGTAAGCATTATTTCTAATAAGCAAAGCAACATTTGAGTGATGATGGAGCTGATAACGCGGAGTTATAGACGGAAGATGCTTCAGTCATTAAAATCTAGCACACTTTCCACTATGGAGGTGGAAAACAGAAAAACTGATAAAAAAATTTCAATAATGCCAAATGATAGTCACATATTCAAACAATTAAAATAAAATTCCAAAGCAATTTTAATTTTTATATACATCTACCCGTATTTTTGTTCACATTTAAACAAAACAAGCTGCGCAACCTCTTTCTCTTCTCTCTCTCACACAAATGTATTAACCTTTGTCTCTTCTATGTCTCACACACAAAAGTATTAACAATCGTCAATACGGATGTTTTCATCCCCAAAGAGTACGCCAAACATAGAAAAATGTCGTTTTTCTTTAAAATAAAAAGAAACCTGTTAGTTTTCTAATGAATCTTTACTCTAGCTGGATGTTTCTACTGGCCACATAACCTCTTCAGAGCAATAACAGCTACAAGAAGCCACACAATTTGCTCCCAACCAAAAGGAATGTGCTGTGCACATTGCACGTTTTAAAGAAACATTAGGGCTGGTTGAGTCTACCTACCATGAGAATACCATAAGGCATTAAGATGCTATTTCTTTATTAGAAATGGTCACACAGTTCACAGCTTCAGATAGTTATCTTTGTGGAAGTTATTTTGGTGGGCTCTTGTACTCTCATTTTCATCTTGGCGCTTCATTATTTTCTAGCTTTCCATCGGTTTATTTGTGATGCCAGTGGGATTTATTCCCAACAAACTTGTCATGCAATAAGGTCCCCACATTTAATATTTAAGAAAATGCATCTATAATTCATATATATTTCCTATAACTAGGGAAATGCCTGTAAACATCAGATTCAAACTTTATTAGGAAACTGTTTTATTAGGGTTTTGATTCAAACTTTCATACTCACAATACTTTCACAGCCACAGTTCACCAAACACTTGGTTGGTTTACTAAGGCTAATTTTTCTCACAACATATTGAAAGTAGTATTTTAAAAGTCACAACAATACCAAACAGGTCCTTGATTCTATAAACTATCAATATGACATTCTTAAGTACTGAAATGATTCTTTTGGGCATGCAAAAGAAATGATTCTTTTACACTGCTTCATATTCATTGTATCCTCTATAGGTTTCATAAGTGAGGTAACTGTCAGTCAAGAGTCCTAATTAATGTATTCAATAGCTCCTATTATTTGATAAACCTGTTTCACATAACATGACACCTGAATCACACGTTGAAGAAAATGTTATAGGAGTTTAAGAAGGTGATGCTCTTACCTGGCCGTTGTCCCACCATCATAACCAGTTGAATATGATACGAAGACTCTCTCAAAATACAAGTAGGACACCTCTTTTGGTCTATGGTCTATAATAGAGACCCCTACAACTCCAAACTCAATTATAAGCTCAACAGGTGTGGCACCATTATTTTGAATGGTGTTTGGCATGTGGGAATGCCCCCAATTTCCAGCAAGTTGCTGATGTGAACTTGTCCCTGAAGTTGTGGCGTTTGTGAACCTTGCTACCTTGATATCACTGGTTTCTATAACATGAAATTGTAATCCAAGTCCCTCCTCTGCATAACATATCCCAGTCCTTTCCAAATCGAGTTCCCAAGGTCCAATTTCGAGCTCACTGTCAACCTTAGCTTGTATGAATTTTTGGCCATAAGGATCCTCCCATGAAAAATTTGTTGTCAAAAGAGGTGCTATGGTAATCCAGGCATCTTCACCAAAACCCGATTGACGAATGCTAATTGTTTTGCTGTCTGTTCTGTTCTCGATTCTGACGATGCAAAGGTTTAATAGGTTAGTCACATCTCTCTCTCTCTCTCTCTCTCTCTCTATATATATATATATATATACACACACTATATCTGTCTGTGTGTGTGTGTTGTGCATGTACAAACACACAAGTACCTGATAGGACCATTGGTTGATCCAAGGCGGAACACAACGATGAAACGTGAGCCTTCTTCATAGCCCCGAATTTCTGTTCTCAAAAATGTCCTAGTACCAGGATGCTTCCTCAAAACAAGAGATATGGTGTCCTCCTTTACAATTTGAACAGGAAAAGACCAGTCGGTGTCTTCTAATCGAACCTAAAAATGTAACAGAGCAATATAGTAAAAAAATTTGCCAAAGTGTATAAGATAAAATCTCTTCACCGTAACATTAGTTAAAAGAAAAATTCTGAACAGTTGGTTGATAAAATGCAAACCTCATGGAACTTGGAAGGAAAATTGAAAGTTCACTAAGGATGAAATCAAGATTGCACTTCTACGTAGTTCATTTTGAACACTTACCCTCAATCTCATGAATAGCACCTTTTCTATGACCTTATACAGACTTGTGACTGAACATATGGGGCTAGTAATTTTTACTCTCAATGACTGGATTTTCTATGGGTATGTAAGAAATATAAGTTATACTAGTACAAGCTTTAACAACTTGGTGTAGAAAAAGTTCCCAGAAAACCTTCAATAAGTCAACTTTGACAACATCCCAATAATCTTGAGAAACCGCCATCTGATCTGGATCATATGTTTCAAACCACAGTCAAACTCAGATTTTCTAATTTCCTTCTCATCGAAAGGTGTTCCCAGCCAACTAGCTTTCTCCACAAAAATTGAGCACCAATCCAGTTCTTCCATCATAAATGCCACCCTTTCATCTTCAGTACAAAGCCAATCAAAGAGTAATTACTTCACATTCACAACTACCTCCACGATCTCTATAATGTTACCCTTTCCATCCTCAAACTTATTTGTCAGACTTGTTCACTTCCTAGTGCTAGCCTACGCTCCTATGGTCCTACCGCTTTCATTTTTTTCCTTTTGCCTCCAAGAAAATTCCCTTAAGATTCATATTTGAATTTGAATTCATCCCTAAGTTCACATCTCTTTCTTCTCAGCTCTCCAGGAACACTCTGTTTTTCTGCTTTTATTTTTATTTTTCTTCTTTTGTGTTCTAAGTTAGTTATATTTCTCAAGTCATGTTAAGCTATGCAAAAACGCTCCGACTTGAGAGGGAAGTTGCAGAACAAAGTATATTGTAAATAAATTATAAGAATATTTGGTTTTCAAGTCAGGTTAGGACTGTGGTCTAATTTCTTCAGTCAAGTGATTTGGTTGTTGATTAATTTCCTACTAGTAATACGATGAAATTTCCTATGTGATTAGGTTGCACCTTATTTGGATCCTTTTAGGATTCAGATTAATGTACCCCATGCTCCCTTATTTTTCTCAACAATGGGCATAAACTTTAGGGTTAGGTCTATAGGAGGGTCAAGTCAACAAGTAAAGATACAAGGTTGATTGGTGGATATGTCAAGACAATAGTATTATAACTACATGCACTCCACTAACCTGAAGTTTATCAGGTCCGTCTGATTTACGATGTACAAATGAGACTCTTGAATCAGTTGCTCGAAGGACCTTTGGTTCATCCTCACTGCACAACTTAATATATATGTCCTGACCAAGTCTGTTGGTAAAAGTCATATATGGTCGCACAGAAATTACCTGGAAAGAGGGCAAAGAGTAAATGACTAATACAAAGATTCATTGCAATCTCTCATATTTATAACTACCTTTGTGGGAACAGATTGATATAGGCATGGTTTTGTTGTAATAAAAAGACTCATGCAATTGCCTTCACCATCATAAGCATAGAGATCCAGTGACCCATCCTAAAAACATGAAAAGAGAAAATCTTAACAAGACTTCTTTACCAATAATGTCTCAATGCAAAGTTAATATTGATTGACATCTACCATGTCACCAAGGGGAGAAAGATCTTTAACAGGTCCAAACTGCTCCGTGCCAGATTGATCAATGGACACCGCAAGGCCCAACATTTTAAAGGTCAAAGCTGAAGCAATTGTATGGCCTTCATATATTTCCTCTTCAGTTATTTCCTCTAGGATAGCTTCATTGTTCTTTTTAGATTCAAGTGGACCACCAACCTTGCGTGTATGTTTCTTTCCTTTTATATCTAGAAGCCTAAATGTGAGAGGGGGACACCTAGCAATTGAATACCAGTAAGGAGCATAGACTCTAACGAGCTTAGCCTGCAGTGGTCGTTCTTGGTTAGAATTCTGTTCAAGAATGATTTGAACAATCCTGCAGAAACAATACCTAGCAAGATTAGACTATAAAAGAAACCGATTTCAATAAATGTACAAAAGAGCTAAGATATCCAATACAATATATTATGCAAATTATTCAATTTGAAACCTTCCAGATATCGAACTTCTCAAACTTATGGTTTTTGACGGAACTTCATGAGGATGTGATAAAAGAACAGCCTCCTGCAAACAAATAAATGAAATGGTCGAATTTACAAACATTTGATGCCAAACAGAAATATCAGCATAAGAAAAGAGCAAGGACTAGATTGGTCTTGAAAGCTTACATGTATGGGCAGCCACCCTCTTTGTGGAAGCAGTGAAAAGAACAAAGGCTTTCTTATGTCAGCATTATAAACATCGACAGTTTTTCCTGGAAAAAACACTCCTCTGGAGCAGTCAACAAAGTTACCACTTTCTTGCATCTCAAGAACAGAAAATTCCGCAGCAAGTGGAATAAAATTGGAGATGCATAACGGGGACTTGATTACAAGATTCCAATCCTGGATAGGATCAGAACGAATGTCTTTTGCAATATCTGTTGCTTGTACACTCATACAAAACCACAACTTATGCAGAACACTTGAAGAAGTACCACTTATCTGGGTGCAATACAACAGTTCCTCTGACTCAGTGAGAGATGACACACTTATCCCGGAACATAGTTTTGACTTACTAGAATCCTCTGCTTTTTCAGACCCATCCACCACTGAACTCCAAGAATATTCAATAGGATTGCTGAGATTGGACGGCCTTAAACGCAAGACATACATTCCAGGTTGTGCTAACCCAGATAGGGGAAGGGATATCGTATCTCCAGGTTTCAAAAGTCCAATATGTATTTCTTGATTTGTAACATTTTGTTTTCTATTCCTGATCCATCTCCTTTGCCTTAAGGGATCAAATGACTCTGGCCGTTTTAAACTATCAACATCTGGAGCATAAACACAACTGTCAGCAGTGTTAACAGATGCCATATCCAAATGCCAATCATCAACCCATTCCCAGCCTGGTGGTAACTCAACAGCAGGAATTCCCTGCATTACCGACAGTAATTAGAGACAAGCTAACGGCTCCAGAATTACTATTCCAACCTGTCTAATAATGCCAGAGACAATAAAGGAGTTTAACCATCCCTAAATCAATATGTAGAAGTGAATTAGATATATTCAAGACCGATGTGAGTAGGTTGCACAACAGTTTAGAGTGGAGTGGGTTTGACCGAGAAATTGCTGTGTTCACCGAGGACCTTTTGTAGGGTGGTTTACACTTTGGAGATGTGCAGTTTTGGTTGGGGTAAATGAATAAAACATTCTCTGATGACAGGATGAAGGAGGTTTTACTTTGGCTATCTATGCTAATAAATTTAGAGACCTTTAGTGTAACTTGTCTTCATTGGCTAGAGCTGTTGAAATTTTTCTTGTTAAGGCATTCATTGCCGCTTTTGCAAGTTTGCTGGACTTCTCAATCTTTCTTCGTATCAGTTTTTCTCGTTTATAAAATTTGTTGTTCTCTAATCAAAAGAATCACAAAGTATACTACCAATCCATATAAAAATAGTTTACGGATATTATAGCTTCCAATTTTGGATTAGAACTGGAAATAAAAGTAAAATACAGGCAATAATAAAATATTAAACCATACTGTAGTTTAAATCAAGCATGGTAAGCTTCATTAACAGAATTGAAATTCAATGTGAAAAGCCTTGCATAGAAGAAACAACAATGACTAGATCAAGCTACATGAGTTACTAACACATGCCAAGAGCAACTTCAACTAATATCTTACCTGATGAGATCCTCCACTTTCGAAGATATCTTGGCTTGGTTGAACCATGCAGCCAATCCAGCCAGTGCCTGGGCTGTATTTTTCAGTTTCAAAGAACTCATCAGTCCGAAGTTTATTGCTGTGAATTTGTAAACCTTCAGGGGTACCTTCATTATTTGTTGACGTCGTCTCTTCCATGGAAATTTTTGATGCAAGGCACAAATCAAGCACAAAATCCGTACTGTTACGTACCGAAACAAGAGACCTAATATTGACATATCGGTTGCCATCCTTCACATGTACTTCACTAGCAACAACATCATTCCCTAACCGCCAACAGGCAGCTGGTGCAGCATAGTTCAACCTCACAGTAGTCCAAGGTCCTTCCCTGCTTGGACTGATCTGAATAAATCCAGATTTTCTGTTACTGTTATCTGATTGATCACTTATCTCAGCTTCAGATCTTGGTGACAAGAGCACAGCACATCTGATTCTACCACTCGACTTTTCACCGTTATTTCCCTGAATCACAGTTGACGTAAATATTATAAGGTTGAAAAATATTCTTGTCTTGCTTGACAAATTTTTACCCAAGAAGGAGGCAACACTACATGTTTTGCCACAAAACAGATACGACAAGAAAAAAAGGATATTGCTAAGATATGAGAAAGAACTCTACCGTAGAATTTGGGGAGGATAATTCAACCCAGGTCCATTTGTTCACACTATCATATGCGTATGAATCATCATGGATATTCCCTACAATCTGCTTTAGAGGGGCTGAAAAGAATCCAAGAGGGACCCCTGTAAAATTAAACATGAAAAGTGAAATGCATCTTGTCCAAAATAGATAGTTTGATAAACAGAGGAGAAATAATGCATATTTTCCTTAAGTACCTTAACTTAGCAAATAAGAAGGCAAAAGTTGACATTTTCTACAGAGGCTTAACAGAGAGTATCTTTATAACATAGATATTCCCTATGGCGTGCAGATTAATAATAAACTTAGCAGTTTATTCCCTATCTTGTATTAACTTTAAAAACAACAGATTGAGTAAGGGAAAAAAGAAAAAGCAGTACCTTTCCCCAGCTCCGTGACAATTAATTCCACTGAGTAGTAATCCTGCACAAATTTGTATAGAACAGGTTGAGGTGGTCACCAAATGGCAACAGAGAATATGAAAATAGGATGCTACCACCAAGAAGAAGGCTACTTTATGCTCATACAACTTCCAAACAAATGATATATAACAAGGGGAAAAGGATGCAAAAACAAGCATTAACTCGTTTTAAGAAAACAAATCATTTATGGCGTGCCAAATTCAGATGGTATAACTAGTAGGCACTATATTCATCAACAAGCAACATTAATATCTATCATTTGAAAAGTATGAAAGCTGAAATTTAACATGCGACGTGGGGTTAAAAAAATTGACTTAGCTTGTCTTAGCAACCAAAGGGAATGAAAGTGTTCTCAAATTATATTTTAGGTGAACAGATGGTACACAAGTTTCTTTGTGCAAGAATAAAATTTATTTATAAAGTGCCCAAGGGGGTGTGAAGCCCTTCTCCTCCATATACAGCAAAACTGAACATGTTGAGTTGAAGAGTCATGATTTAACAAAATCAAATTTTGGTGATAAGAGATGTGAAAACAAATGTGCAAAGACCTCGCACATGTAAAAGCAGAGCAGTTATTTAATTGGGAAGAAATTGTTAAGAGAAAAACATTCTACATACTGGATCATCAACTTTAAAGAAAAAAATTTCATTCCACTTGACCAACTCAAGCTCTGAAGATAAGTGTTCCGAGCTACTTCCACAAGTACGTGCACTTTGTTGATGGCTCAGTGATTCACTAGGGAGACTCAGGTCAGGACTGAGGCGGATTGCTATGGTATACTGGGGGGATGTCAACCCTCTACCCTGTGGGAACTGCAATTGCAGGTAGATGAGTAGTCAAGATAAGGGAAGCCATTTCACTATGTAACATATACACAAACACAATTGTGTGACTAGCTGAAATTCAGATACTCTTTGAATATAAGATATATGGAAGGAATTAAGCAACTGCCTCCATAAGAAAAGAGGGTATACCTGCCCATCCACTATGATAAGAGTCACCATTCTTCTAACTTTACGGAAAAGTTTTCCCTTCAAGTGAGAGTCCAACATATTCTTGGAAACAGGAACTTTTAGAGGCCTCATATCCCCAGATGGCATCTTAATTATGTTTGCAAGTCCCCTTAATTCAGTAGCTCGAATATAGATATCCTGACCAAGTTTGTTTTGTGGAATTATATAGTAATTTCTCCTGTGATGGACGTCAATAACAGATACTCCACCATCTGTTGGAGAGGATGCTTCCTATACGATGTCATGTTAAAACAAAAAGAAAAGGTAGCACTGTAAGCAATAATCAACAATTGCAGAAAGGAGAAAAAACGTACAAGATAAATTTCATATTACTGATGGAACCAGAAGAAATTTACTCTTTTTCTATGATATTCATTAACATGAATGAGACTGTTCCAGCTTGCATAAGCTTGAATTATCATATTAGCATTAGACACAGAAACGTTCAAGTTCAGTTCCCTAGTAGAGGTAAGACGTAACTGGGAAGCTGCAGTTGGAGCACTGGGATCATATTGATACCTGTAAGTAACCATAAATTAGGGAATAACTACACGTGATGCATATGTGAAAATTTGAATCAAATATAACCACAATAACATCAAAAGCAAAGACAAAAATAAATACAAATAAATACAAACAAACAAACACAAACACACACACACACACACACATTGGTAAGTCACACACACATTAACATTGGTAAGTCACCCACCTTGACCTCATTTAACTAAATTCAAAATCCTAGCAAGCTCAATAGTGAGATGAACACATATCAATAGCCTTCGCTGATAAATAAAAAGACTATAACAGATACAAACTGTTCAACGGATGTTCCTCAAGCCATCTTCCTTTTCAGAATCTTACCATAGTCTCGAGACCCATAACCAACAAAGCATAGTCATCGTTCAAATCCCAAGATTGGGGCCAATTGAAATATAATATAATAGAAACACCAGAAATTCAAATTGTTCTAAATTAAAAGAAATGGGTAGGTAGGGGGAGTTCATGCTGCTACTAAAACTGTGAATTTACAGCACATTTAAACAGTACTAGCAAGTAAAGCAGGGAATGGAATTAAACAATCGATTCAGTACTGATCAAAATATTAAATGCATCACATATGTTCCCAATATAGTGTTAACATTTGACGTAGTACAGTAAATTACCTTAAGAATCCATCCATTGGCTCAACAAGAGGCTCCCAAATTTCATACTTATCGTTATATGATCTAGCAGCCAAAGAGAAGCTCACAGTAGAATTTAAGTATTCTGTTCTTCCATGCAAACTGAACCCAATTCCACTTAAAGAGACATTAAACAATGGAACCATCTGCCATATTCCATAAAACAAAATCATAAGAAAAATTTCCTTGCCCACTCTTTGTAATTAGCTTTCCTACTTTAATAAAATTATGTTTCTTTTCAAAAAAGAAAAATTAGAAAAATACCTTCAATTAGTAGCAAATTAATGTAACAGTAGGTTTTTCAGCTTTCAATAACAATAACCATGAACTAAAATAAAACATTAACTTATTATTTTCTTAAAGAAAAGAAGATAAAAAGTTTAATTATGTACAATTCAGAACATGAATACAAAGTATAAAAGGTTTCATAAGAAGAACAGAGAACACGAGATCTAAACCAACAAAAGAATAAGTAAACACATACAAAAGTTCAAAGAACACGAAGCTGAATATGAAGGATGAACAAAAATTCAAATAAAAATTGAGGCATAAAAGAACACCAAAGCAATCCATTGAAGAGTATGAAGCTACCAAAAAAGGCAAACCCAAAACTAGGAGAATAAGTCCATAGAAATATTATGTCAATATACCCTTGTTCTCTTCCATCTCTTCTCCAAGGCCCTGTCCTTTCTCATTAAACAAATTATATCAAACACAAAATTACTACTGTTCAACTGGTCAAGCCCCACCCTCAGAAAAGCTTTCTACCAGGAAGTCGACTATGTAAGAGTAAGTGCTTTCCCATTAAATGTATGAGAGAAACCTCATTGGTTTTCCAAACTTTCAAGAGTCAGACTTACTGATTCGACCAACTAAAAAACCATAATGTTTTTTTTTTATTTTTTACTTTTACAGGAAACAAAAATTCTATAAATAATTTTTTTTTTTTTTAAAGGATGCAAGAAAAGATAAGACAACAAGTCCATTAAAGTGAACTGACTACCAAAGAATGACCATAATTAACAAAAGAAAACAAACAATAAAAGATGAATTATACTAAAAGAGACATCCCTAATGTTATACAAAGATGCCTGTAATGAAACTAGGTCTATTATTTTAGTCCAAAGATCTCCCACCTCATCCACAAAAAGAACCAACTAATTAATCCCTACACATACTTCGTTATTCATTACACACTACTTTTAACCAGGAGAAATTTCAGCATGTAACAGTTAGTTTAAATTCTATATGAAACTATATAGAGTATGAATTCTCACCAAGCCACCGTAGTCATCAAAAAGTGCTGCAGAAAAAGTTCTAAATTCTGCATCAATTACAGTATCATCTGAGCCACTTCGTACATGTGAGTCAGCCAACTTTAAAGCAAACCTTCTTGGAGGTTTCTTGAATCCACCACGAACTATAAAGGTCCCCAACTCATTGCCAACTGCCCATATACTAAACGAATCTCTTGTAAGCTTGGCATCAGATGTATCCCATACACTTTCTTCCAAAAATTGATCCCCAGCTACCATATCACTGCGCATGCATCTTAATGAGCTGAAATCACTCTGTTTTGGTGTTCCCTTACATGCTATGCAACCAAGAGCAACAAAACCTGGAGGAGCTTGAGGAAGCCAGAAAGATATACTCTCCATTCCCCTCTGTTTCTTAATTTGCCCAACAAGTTGGAAATCAAGAGGGGCTTTGAAGATCCCTTCGTCTCCAGTATCATGAAGAACAATGCAGTTATTTGGAGGCTCATACCTAAGTTTAGTAAACATCAAAACTTATGTTACTTAGATAAAACAAAAGAAAACATACACGGAATGTAATAAGAAAAAGATATCCATTATCATATACCCTTCGACTGCAATATCACCAAAATATACCATCCCATGAGGGACAACTGGACGCCATATGGACAGTTTCTTCCTTGAGTTAGAGCTCTGATTCCACCATATCAATCGGAAACTAGCTACAGCTTCATAACGCCGAGCAGAATTTACAGATGATGATACTTCTGATTGGAGGTTGTGACTCTGAGCAGAAGAAGCTTGCACATCCAAATGATTAGATGACTTTACAGATCCTTCTGGCAATCCAAATATCACGTGACGCAAATCATATGCTGTACCCATTACAGTAGAAGTACTAGGATCTGCTGGCAAAAAGGTGCCAACAGAGTTATCCACACGCCAGAATGCTACACTTGACGGATATCTGCAATTTAAAATGGAATGACAAATCAAAAGTTCTAACCATTTCTTATCAAAACAAATAGCGTTCAGACAGACAGGATAGGAATTATTTAATCATAAAACTATTCCTCGCATTGTAGTTTCCCAAGAACCAGAAAAGAAGATGCCCTAACATAAGGCTATCAATGGGTCATTCTAGTTGGATCTATCAGGATATATGTACAAGTCCAATTATATGGAAGAATATATGGACCCCAAAATCTGAAAGAGTTCTTACAATATGTTGAAGTTTGGAGCCAAGAAGAAAGCAAATATATATTCTATGTTTCCATTACGTTCTGGAAAAGACTGATAACTTGCGCAATATTATTATCTCTGACTTGACGATTATTTTTTTAAGGAAAAAACTGCAATTCAAATATACTATAATATGATTCAAACTTTTGGTGGATCAGGTTTATTAAATTTTAAACCATCGAAACTGTTTTAAGTCCTGCCTAATTTGGAACTGTGTTGAACCTTAGTATGAACCATTGGCACCCTGGTGTAATCTGAACTTATTAAAAGTAACATAGTCTGAAAGTACGACATCTGAAAGTACAACATACAGATTTGTGGTGCTGATTGCAATGCAATCCCTTAAGGAACAAGAAGAAACCAAAGAAGCCAAGATACAAAAAGCAGCTGACAGTGGTGGATGTGTTCTTCCTGGGGAAACCACACAGCCCAATGCAACATATCCATTAGGCGCTTCAGGAAACCAAATGGAACAACTATCTCCGTCAGAAAGGATGTCATTTGGTAAAGAATCGGAATCATTTACACCATGAACAGATGAGCCCTCGGAAGGTAAAGGTGGCCAAATCAGTTTAAAAGATATGGGTTTCTTGACTCTAGAAAAATTGGTATTTATAGCAAGAACTGCTTTTGTAGGTGGCTTGTCCCTGTCACAAGAAAATTATATTATTAGTGTTCAAAACTTTAAGAAATGAAAGCCTTCATATTTTTTCGTAAAAGTGAATATTTAAGGAGAACCATGAGGTACAATTAAAGAATGTCCACTAACAATGGTGTCAGATAATCCCCAAGAACAGCAAAACCAGGAGGTGCATGAGGCCTCCAGAAGGCATATGTTTGGTCATTGTGGGGATCTGAAAGTTCAAGGAAGCAGGGAACACGTATCAGCATGTAACTATAGGCATGTTAAAACATTCTAGCAACAATATAGAAAAGAAAAAAAAATTCAGCCTACTTTTTATTGTTCCAATTTTGTCGAACTGTGAGCAGACCACTGTCATTTTCTTTGATGTTGTCCTTAAAAATGCCAAGATATCATCTTCAACAGCTAAAAACAGTCTAAGGATGCTGAATGAGAAATTCATAAATACATCTGAAGCACTTAGATGAATATTGGTCTTTCCAGAAGCATTGGAATATTTCACAGAGGTGTCAAAAGGCTCCAGAATCGTGAATCCATTACTCTCCATTGTTAAACCAAGTACATTTGCATTCATCTCAATGGTATCACCCTTCAAAACAAGCCTAGAGGCAACAAGAGCACATAGAATGTCACTTTTCCATTACATTTCTTTAAGTTCAAGCATTCATAACATGGAATCTAAAGCAAACATGGCCTAGGCAACAAATATGATTTTTCTTTCACTTGAACTCCTGGAAACCTATGGAAGCAATGCATAAGGAACCAAAGAGCAATATCCAGTGATATTGCTCTCAACTAAAGCCATATCAAATCCATTTATGTCTGGTAAGAATCCACAAAATAAAAAATAATAATGGGAATTTCAATGGAAATATAGATATATCGCGGATATTGGTAGGAATCAAGAAACAAAATTAAGACTTTTGGGTATGACAAATACCATGGACATTGAAACAGAGGGAGTATGAATGTGTCCTAATCAATTTGGGTTTAAAAAGGACTTGAACTCAATATTGCGTGTCATTTAGTCAATCCAAAATGCAATGGAAGAACCCCTAAATAAGAGACAAAATTCCTCCCCTAAATAAGAGACAAAATCCAATAGGAAAAGAAAAAGGGAGTCCTTGGAGACCCTTTTGAGAAATGAAAGAAGATCCTATTCTAATTATTTCCAACAATATTTCTAAATACGGGAACAAGTGTAGAGTTCAGAAATAACATAACATAACATTAAAATCAACATAACAATAAAATTATTTACCTGCAGAATCCATCCAACTGTGCATGTAAAAGTTGGTTGGAGAGCACAAGGGATTCCCCAACATCTTCAGACGTATTATAGAATGTCAGCTCTGGGCCAACCAACTGCAATGAAATATTTAGTTACGAAAGACAGTTGCAGATCCAAAGAATGAGTATGACCCCAAATTAGGAAAAAGAAATCAAATGAAGCAATATTGAACCTGCAACTCAATAATAAACTCTGTCGACCTGTCGACGGCAATACTTTGAGATGGCACATTATTGACACTTTCTGTTGGGGAATTCAAATTAGGAACTTCATTCCCTCCCACGAAGTAGACCTGATCTTCCTTCAAAGCTGAATAGCTACTGTTGGTTCCCATAGAAATGCATGAATCTAAGTACAGTCCATTCTACACCAACACAACTTACATTAGAAGTTTAAATATGATAGAAGTGCTTTTGAAGTACAAGTATGCCAGTAAACAAGAAAAAGAGACATCGTAAAGAATAATACCATGATAACAACATTTTTGAATTGCAATCTTTTCCCATCTCCTACATATATTATAGCCTCTGTACTAGGCCCTGAGAGATTAAATCCCTGCCTATCTTTCAAATACAGTGTCCCAGCATTGCCATCATAAACAAAATGATCATGCCTTTCATCGTCAACTATTAAAGGTCTTAGAGGAGAAAGAGAGAATTCGGTAGAGGGTTGCTTGTAAGTTGATTGGTCCAAAATTACTGCATCAATTCCATGGACAGAGTTCTGTAGTTCTTCATTTGACTGCACATTGCCGATGGTAGGAACAAAAAACTCAACAACACCCAGCAGAAAATCAAGTGCAACGAGCAGTTGTGGCCTTTGGATGCACAAAGAAACAACTGTTGACAGCTGACAAAATTTTGCATCAAGAATGAGCATTGTAGGAACTAATTTGACATCATTCCCTTTTGTAACATTTGCACCGGAGATGTGATGGTCATCATGAGCAACAAAATCTAGAGGATATGAACCAACATACTCAGGCTTTCCTATTGCCAACCTAAACTCTGGTTCAGTACCCTCACGATCATCAAACACAGTGAAACCCTTTAGCGTTGCTGAGAGGAAGCCTTCTCCTAGTGTATTTGACTTGTACAGCAACCATGCACCGCTAATCTGTACAACAGAGTGGTAGCATAATAAACCGAGAACAAAAATATTTATATAATCTTATGTATTCTTATCTCAAAACGTGAGCATCCACCCTATTAAATGTTCTAACACATCCTACACACATAAACGCTCCTGATACAAATTTTGACAAAATATCTTCTTAAAATAATACAATTATTATAATGCATTATGCAGAAATCAACAGAGTTTAACCCTGTCAACAGTTGATTATTTACACATGTTTTTGTGTCCCTTTTTTGTTGACTGACAGTAGTATCTCTTCTAGACTGCTGGTCCGATTTGACTGTACTTTCTTCTTTATTAATAAAATTATCACTTTTGCGAAAAGAAAATGAAATCCAGTTTTGCAATGATGTTCAAGTACGGTGTAAATCGTAAATTAGACACAATACCAGACAATTTGAACGGAGAATGCATAAATATTGATGCAAGGATTTGAAAATGATTTTAGGATCACTAAATGATATTTACGTGACATATAGGACCAAAATATATAGCATTCCCAAACGAAAAAGGCAAACAAATTATTTATTTATTAAATAAATAAATAAAAAGCAAACATGGGGTTCAGAAGATAGAAAGTATAGCAAAACAAAATACAAATTTAGTCAAGCAAGAAAAACTCTTGTGATGCATAAAACCAATGCCACCTCAATGAGTTCAATCTTCTAACGAGAGAATATACAAATACTCTAATAAATTCCCAACAGTTAAGAAATCCACCAAATTGAGAAACTACCTGCACAGTGGCCAGAGATGCATCTCTTGCTACACCAGCATGTAAGCACAATTCAACCAAATCGATAACAACAGAGACTTTCATCATAACCCAGGCTCCCCCACTTGCACTTTGGGATTCAATACCATCTGGTTCCTGAGGAGTGATGTCTTCTTCAACATCAACTGAAGATGTCATAGAATTATGGTTCAATGGGGGTATAATACGTGGAGTTTCAGAAATATTAGACTGTGCACAATCCGTGATAATCTGATATTCCTTGTTTGACAAAGCTGCTTTCAATTTCTCCATCTGAAAAGCACGAATTCTAAAAACATTTAAATTGTGACTTCACTTATGTTTGCATTTTTCCCAAAATTAAAATTAAAAACGAAGTTAGCTTCACAAAACGGTCAATGAACATGTAATCCATTACCTTGATTATAACCTCAATACTTGGTATTTGATGCAACAAGTCTCGAAGTGACCTTTGAATCACAACCGAAACTCCATTCACATCTTGAATTATGCTTTCACCTAACTCACCTTTAGTGCCAACATTTAGATTGATGTCCTCAACCTACAGCCCCCATCATAGTATTAATCGACATGCAGAGACATTTAATTACAAATTAATAGATGCAAACCAAACAAAAAGTAAATATTAATTCTGCTGCCAAGCACTCCACATGACAAATCCTTTCAAAATCCATTTGTATTGGAACCACCGTATCCTATTCCAACTAAATAAAAATTTCAGCATGGGTTTTTGTTAGTAAAAGAAAAAAAAAATTAAATGTATTCAATCACCTGAACTGTTAATACTTCCATATGAACAGCATTAATTTCACTTCTACTTCCACCAAACCATTTAAAAGTGTTTCGGACAGTAATATGAACAATATCAAGCTTCAAGTAGCTGAAATAGAAAAATTCAAATAATTAGAGAACGCCTATTAGGTTTATCAAATTGAGAGACGAATTATACGAGGGCAACCACAGACAAAGATGCCAATAGTCTAAAACTAAGATCCATAAGAGCCTAGATTCCAATATAAACTTACTCAAGACTGTCAGTTCTCCGAGGCATCAAAATAATAGGCTTCCTAAGGGAGACATCCAACTTTAGGGCAGGTGATCCTTCGAAGTCACTAGTTGTAAACATCTTTTCTGAATTTGTTACTTGATCTTTTAGCTTGACGACACCTTTTGAATTGTTGGGAACAAGACCCATGAAGTAACTAGCCACCTACAAATGATTTTACAGACATAAGAGAAGTGGAAACGAACCAGAGTGCATAATGAACAAAAGAATTAAATTTATATTACCTCCTGGATAAATCGATTCAAATAAACAATGCGTACTTCTGAAAGCTGCCCATAAAGGCTATACTCATAGCCTTCGTAGTCTTCATCATCAACGTTAAATGAAGTAAAAACCAACTGCATCATAATGACTGTTATTTGTAAAACTATCCCTAATACCAATAAAAGCAAATGAAATAGGAGAATAGTAAAACAGTAGAAAAAAAAAAGGAAAAAAACAACTGCAGAACAGAAGAAAGTAGATTAACTGCCGCAATAATGTGGAACCCTAAAGTCTCTTTATACATTTACTCTAAATTTATTGACTAAATGTCTCTCCAAATTTATCTATCAAAGCCATAAACAGTAATATAAATGTTAGCTTGCCTACATGATGCAACAGTGTGGAATACGAAGGAGTCAAATAAAGTTCTTAACATTTCCTATCACCATCGCCCTTTCCTTTTCCCCACCTTCCTTCCTACAGAAATCTCTTACAAAAATTAATTACTTCTTCCTCAATCCTCCCCTTGTCATCAGTGAACGGCCCATCACTCAATTCCAAGATTTTGATCAAATTTCTTTTTTACATCCTATTTACCATTTTATCAACATTTTTGTACTGTCATCACCCTCTTTTGCCCAAGCCACTTTTTTGCCTCCACAAATCTCCTTGAAAACAAGCCTCCCACAATTTTAGTCTTAGCTTGCCCTCTCCCTTCGGCACTCTTCCAGCAATCTGTCCCCTTACTCCAACAAATGGAGCTCTTTAATTATTTTTCCTGCACTTCCCGCTTTTCCTTTCTTACATCAACTAAAACTTAACCCTAGCAACCATTTAAACTCCCTACTTTCCCACCACTTCTTGAAGCAGTTCCAACCACATGTTATTAGAATCAAACAATATAGGACAACGATCTGAAACAACCCCACTAAGGGCCATCTCCCTCACATTAGGAAATCCCTCTTCCCACTCTGCAGTATGCAAAAATCTGTCAAATCTTTTGGAATCACATTTTCTCTCATATTTGACCTAGTGAAGAGTGAAGACTGCATTGTGTAACTCGGAATTACACAAGTTTGTTTCCCTTAAGAAATCATAACACGTGCTCCTTGTCACCCTTCCTGCATTACATTTCTCTATGACAAATCTCACCATATGAAAATCCCCACTCATGCACTATCGAGCCAGACAACCCAGCCAATTCCTCCCAAAACCTCACTATGTCCCTTGGCGTACTGGTACATAGAGAATTAAACATTATTTGGTCCCTTGACCTATTCAATAGCCATCAAAGAAAGCACACAAGTTACTGAGGAACATGTCTTAAAATCTAGAACAAAAAAAAAAGCCTCTGGAGTGATAAAAAGAAAGAAAAAATCATGAACAAACTTAAATTTCCATCATCAGAAGAACTTTAGAAACATAAGCTCAAGACAAAATCTTAATTAGTTGTTCTTGTATGATCAGTCTTTTTGTTAAATGATCACACGTTATTCTTATTGGTAGGAACATAGTGTTACCTCAACAAATGAACTGCCGCCTGGATTTCTCATATCACATGCCCAGAAGTACATATGGCTGCTAGGAAGACTCTCATCACTTATTTTAAGATTTCCAAGGGCTGCCTTAATACTAAAAGAGGATGGGAACACCTGAAAAACAATATGGTTTATAAACCTGAACAGGTGAGTTTAATAAAAACAGAAATTCTAGAGGATGAATGAGGATGGACAAAGTTGAGAAAACCTTAATATCGGTAACCAAATTATCTTGTGACAAAGTAGCAAGTTTGGTTTCATCTTCATTCATTAATATAATCTGAGCGCGAGCCATATTTAATGTTATATTAAAAACCACTCTGGACTTTCCCTTCCCCAGCAATCCTTTAATTGAAGAATCATTGATTGTCACTGATCGTGGACTACCAACTGCATCATCTCTGGAGAGTTCCTGTTTCACAATAGCTGCCGAAGAACTGTCACTGAAAGATTCACAGCTTTCATCCTTAATGTTAATAGAATTAACAAATTCCATGATGGCAAGAATTGTTGGTCGCCGACAGAAAAATGATAGGGTAGTCAGGGTGACTGAGACCTAAAACAACCATTTAAAGAATAACAAGTCAAGCAACAACATAACGGATCAAGCCCCAAATTTAACACAGAATAATACTCACCTGCATGTCTATATTATGGTATAGAGGAGAGCTTTGGTCATATCTAACTATTTGAGCTTTCACAAAACTATCCAATGAACCATTGAGTTCAATGTTCTCCTTACTTTCTTCAAGTTCATTAACCGGGAGTAGACCAGGAATACGAGTAAACCGAGGAGATTTCAACAATAAACTTTCAGGGTCAACCAAATTTTCTGGTGCCTCGTAGAATTCATCTCCTTCAGTCGGGGTTAGTTCACTGCCATCAAAACTCTGATTCTCTGTGGCACCAGAGGTTAAACGTGTTTCTGCATTACGGATGAACGATCTTGCCAGATAGCGAGGCTGAGACATGCTATTGCCAGAAACTAAGTCTTCAATCTCCAAAGATTTTAAAACAGTTCCAATGAACAGGTCACTTGATCTAACCGATACCTCAACCTGTGTCCAAAAACATAACTCTCTGGAGTCGGAAAAACAAAAACATTTAAAAACATCAAAACACACCAATGCCTATTTCGATTAATGTATCACCTGGCCACCTATTGCTCGAAATTCAAATAAACGCCTTTCTTCAGTTAGGAGCACTTTCATAAAATTCTGGTCGTGCTAGAGATTAGAGAAAAACAGCTCTGTCAGATCTTCTCTTACAAGGCAATTTTTTATCAAGTATATAGTTTAGGCTTACCTGGTAACTATAACTGAAGCAGACCTTTAGTTCATCAAGAACACCAGTAATAAATGCTCTCTCCATTTTCGATAAATCAACCACATCATCTTTGTCATTAAGCTTCACTATAGAATCCTCGGACTCAGATGAAGTTTCAGATAGACTAGTTACAGGAGCAGAACCCTGCATATAAAACTACTTAAGAGGCCTATGCATGTCCTTAAAAGTTAAAAGTGCTTTCATATCGAAGCCAGGATATGTCTACCACAAACTAAACAAGGATTACCGATGCACGATAGACAGCCCCCTTCAACCGGCTCTGCCAAATTTTCTTCGAATCATCAGAATCACATTGCACTATTAGTGCATTTGCATCCTCCACAACCTATATAAAAAAAATAACTAAAACTAAGTAATACTCAACAAACCATTATACAGGGGGCTATACAAATAAGTGTTCTTTCTAACTATAAAGATGGAGTTACAACCTTGCTATTCGCTCGTGCAGCATCACAGACAGCCAACACAAGATCAGCACCACCAACAGACTCTGGGGGAACTTGATATATGTGTTTTCCACTTAAGCTGCCATAAGCATATTGCAAGCATTAGTTAGACTTAATACAAATTCTAGTATACAACATTCCACTTAATATATACTTATTATATTATATGAAGTGTTGCATATATAATTTTTAGCAGTTATGAAATGTTGAGAAACTATTTTAGAATTTTCTAGAACATTATAAATAGCAGTGAATTCATATCTAGAAACAGATGGAGTTATTGGAATATACAAAGGTGTGGATGTGGTTCAGTGAAATGAACCAAGTCAGTGGTACTTGCGTATATCTTGACACAAGTAGTCTGTATAAAAGGCTACTTAATCAATTCAACTCGAGGAATGGAAGAAAAACCAAAGAATATATGCATTTTTTTAACAAATAGACAAATAAATCATTCCACAAGATTTCAATTAAAACTTTTGCAACAATGGCAAATATCTCCATCTTTGTTTTCTTTCTGAATCATACTTTTTGGATATATATCTACATATTAAGTAGATACTATCATGTCAATCACAACTCAATTTGGAAAAGTTGGCATCCGAACCTGATACACTGTTTGTACGATTTAGAGCTAGGGTTCTCAAGTACATAAAGGAAAGGCCCAACTAAGCATAGGTAGCGCCGCTGCCACACCGCTTCCCTATTCCCGAGACCCTATCATCACATTAAAATAAAGAAATGAATCAGTTCTGTTTATAGGAATGAGTAGATGCTCAAACATAGCACTATAATAAAGACATGAACTACTTTGGGGATGTGTTCTTTTGTTTAGGGGGCAAATGGGAGACAAGACGGTGGGGAGAGATAGATAGATTGCAACCTTCCAAGCAAGAAGAGACAACCACCCCTCGAAGTCAGGCTCATTCCAAGCGCAAAGGAGATCCGAGTCCTCACTATCCTCTTCAAAAATCTTAGCAATTTGCATCAATCGATGATACCGAGCTGGAGAGAAGTGGAACCCTAATGATGGTAGCCGTACAGCGACTCTTGTTGAAGGGTAGGATGGGCTCTCTAATCTAATCTGGATGTAATAACAAAATAACATCCAAAACCTTAATCTTCGCAAATGCCACGAGAAAATAAGCATCGTATTTAAGCTAAACAGGTCACAGTATTTTACCTGTTGAAGCTTTACAGTTACCCCACATTTATCGAATAAAGGCAACAAACTAACACCATTTAATTTAGCACAACCAGCAGAATTGTTTGAAGGAGATTGGCTCCAACAGTAGTCACCATCAACCAGAAAAGCAGATACATCTCTTAAAACCAAATTAAACTGCAGATACAGATCTAGCTCCTCCGGGGATCCACCTCCATAGTCATCCTGCATGCACTTTCAAGCTCAACATAAATGTCTGTAGGAAACAAACTCACAATTAGATAATTAAGAACTAATATTGTTGTTAACCTTGGTTCCAATAACCAAATTTCCCAAGTCAAGCATGAGTTTTGTTGGATGTGTGTTGTCGGGACAAAAATCAGTAGGAATTGTAATCTTCGGAGCCGCAATGTCCAAATCCAGCAAAAACCTAACAAATGATAACAAAACATTAATAGAATAAATACAAAGAAGCTAAGCATCACAAACTTTTATTAAGAAAAGATACAGAAATAATTGTCCACCCAAAAGAAATAGCAATTTCGAGGCCAACCAAACCCACGGCACTCCAAACAACCTGGCCCATGGGACACAACAATGTGAAACATATATTATGTTTATATATATACAAATATATGTATGTCCACTTAAAAAGGGATCCCGCTATTGTATTTGTCCGTATATAATCAGCACTTCCCTCACCCTTATGTAATTCTACCATTAGCATGTTATGGTCAATTTTTCCTCTCATTCACGGGATCAATATAATTTTAGGGAAGGGGCTCAAGGTACTCCAGAAAGAAATGAAATAAGAACCTGGAATGGTCTTTCAATGCTCTGTTCACTTGTTGCTGAGCTGTGCGCTTGACTCCATTGATTGTCATCTGGTATATATTGAAAAAGACAGTTTGTATACCATCATTAACAGAAAATTTGATCACCATACTTGCTGCGACAGAATAACAAGCAGCCACAGCTCTAATCAGGCCATGGTAAAATCATGCATATGCTGCAAAGAGAGTTGTAAAACAATATAATCATCATGTTTCACTGAATTCTTCCTAAACTATTCCATCTTGGGCATCTTTAGAAAAATCAGCACGCAAGCTGATGTACTTCATTTAGCATCCTGACAATATTCTCTACATTTTCCTGATCTTGCATCATGACATAGGCACCGAAGGAAAGTCAAAAGTAACTCAGTGTTGTGCCTTAGCATATAAACTCCGTAAAGAACATATCCAATGGATGCATGTTTCTTTGAATATTTAATCTTTGTTCCTAAATTTTTCTACTTTTTGCTCAAAAAAAATCTCCCAATATTGCCCCTATGACTTACATACCAATCAAATAATTGAAATTTCCAATTAATTTCAGAAGTCCAAGCAACAATATTTAAAATTAGAAGAAAAACACAAACAGACACAATGATTGTAACGTCTTGGTTAACATGTTCAACACCAGCAAGCTTGGAAAGCAGTTGAAATAACTATTTAAGCATATTTCAAATAACCTGCATTGCAGCTGCGGTTTCCAATGCTATCGTCTGACTAACAGCTGTATTACTTCGGAAGAATTTTATAATTTGACCGATAACGTCCTTTAGATACTGCCAGAGAGATCAAATCAGTAAACAAGTACACCTTGGAGGAAGTAGTAACTTTGGCGTAGCAAAAACATACAGTCACATAACAAGGAGAAGCTTTAGCAACCAAGCTCCAGTCCACATTTGCATCAAAAGGCTTAAAACAGAATGTGCCAACTAAAGAATCATGCGCACTTGCACTCTGCAGGGAAGTAAATAGATGATTTATGGATGAAATAGGGAAATTAATCCATAAATATTGAAGAGAAAACGTTTTAAAAAATACAACACACAGCAGGAGAAAGGCCTACCTCAGCAAGGAGACCATTCGGTGTTGATAACTTATATGATCCCAATTTTACGTTGAAAACTTTTGTCTCTGGATAAAGCTTTATAAAGCAATCCAGGCCTTCACATGATAATTCAGCAAGACACTCCTGGGACTCATCAATGAGCTTAGTAGCATTATGTTTCATACAAATGCTCAAGGAAGTCTGAAGAGCTTCCGCCTTGTCATTAATTACAACCGACAGCCTATCATCACTTTCCTTATACCCAATGATGTTATTTAACTGCTTCCAGTCTTCCTCGCTGAAACTAAATGGCTCACTCTCATCTATCTGAGACTGACTGCCCCTGGAACAGTAGATAGAATTAGGAAACAAGCAAACATCAGAATATACAAATACCTAGGGTGTCGGGAGACCTAGTTTCAAATTTGACGGTAAAACTATTACCATCCTATTGACCACCAAGATTTCTTTGCTTTCTGTTTCCTCAAGTCAAGGTCTGACTCTAATGACTGCTCTACAAACTTGTGAGCCAACATCCTGCATGAATGAAACCACAATACTACAAAATACTTCAAGGCAAAAATCATTTCAAGGAACATGCAATGGTCTATCTACACAATAAATGTAACACCCGCTATGCAGCTAAAAATGCATAGAAACACACCAGTTTCAACAGGTAGAGAGAATGGCTAATTTCATACAATTAATAACTATCAGAAACGAAATACATTTACAACAAAAAGAGTACCTCCACTGTAGTATGAGTTCAATATCAAGTCCACGATCTAGCTCCTCAATGTCTTGGTTGTCATCAACTACTGCCCGACTAGGATCAGATTTAAGCAGTGAAGCATATAGCGAGATATATCTTTTACGTAAGCTTGCGTACTTCAGAACTTGATCCCATGACAATCTCCCACTGCCACAAAGATAATGCTTTAAGCAAATATAAAAAAATATGTATCTAAATTCAGTTTGCAGAGCATATAACGAAGTTCACTGCTTTTTCATTTGTTAACAAAATTTGCATAAATTAAAATGTATTAATATTAATAAAACTAAACTAAGTTAACTGATTAAGATAGGAAGCCCTTTTCTTTACTGTTAAAAAAGTATTTCACTATTTTGGGATTAAGGCTCACAACATAAAATCTCATCGGGGAGGAGAATTTTCCTATTTTTTTACAGGAAAAAATAATATATAGATAAGATAAGAAAATCCCAAACAATATCGCCACGAAGTCCATCAGAAACACAACAATTCATAAGGCAGGAGAATTAAAAGAAATTCATTGATCCTGACCTTGCCTTCTTCATTTGGTCAGAAACGACTCTATAAGCATACTTCCACCAAGACCGAGGATCAGATTTCACAGAGACATGCGGACGATAATGAGCATACTTCAAGCGCTGATTAAATGCAGCAAAATTATCAGCTAACTTTAGTGCATCCCTGTATCCATCCTGCAAACAAATAGTATTCAATTGCTTTTAAAACAAATCACATTACCTCCCAGCACTAAATCAGAAGGAATAGAAAATGAAAATGAAAATGAACCTTTGGCAAACAGAGAGTCACATCATCCAAATTAACTGCTGCTTTGTGTAAAGGCTGGCCACTGTCAGCAAATTCATTTGGCCGTAGTTTTGAGTACTTGGCATTTCCAGACACAGGTTCCAGTATGTAAGTGTGCTTTTTTATTAATCCATCTGCTGGTTTACCATATTTAGTGCCAAATCTAAAAACCTGAAGTGCCAAAAAGGTAATATATAAATATACGCATGTATGTGCATGCAGGTACATGGCCTCTATTGCTAAAAGAGGATTGAGCATATACCTGGACCCACTCTGATGGAAGCAAATCCTCCCATGGCTTGTTAACTTGCCATGGAGAAATATCAGAATCCAGATAAAGTGCAAGCCGATCAAGTTGAACAGACTGAAAACGACAGATTATAGCATAAGCAGAAAGACAGAAGGGATCAATATGTCGATGAAGCCAAGTTATTCACAAGTACACGAAATGCTTACTTGTTCTAATTTTTTTGCTTAAATAGACGGCTTTAATCAGTATTTGAAAGAATCTCAGGGATATACGAAGTCAATTTCAAAAAATCAAATGACACGCAATAATCATACAGTGACTTCCCATAACATCAACCTGGAAGTATCCATTATTGAACTTATTGGTCTATGCATTTATATTTTATATTTTTGGTAGTTTGGTGGAGAGATATGTAAGGATACTTGATGCTGAGGACGTGGATCATTTGTTGGAGGGTTCAATTTTTGTCATCTTTCTGGGCTACAGCATCTGTAGAGTATAGGGACAACTCTTTTCCGGTTGTTTTTTTTATTGGATAGCTGTAGTGTCTTAGAGTTTGTTCTTGCTGTATTTGTTGTTTAGTTGTATCTTCTTTGTTGGTTCTGTTGTCCATAGATTTTGTTAGTTAGGAGCTGGAAGTCAGTGGACACCTTGTCCTCTGATGCACCCGCTCATTTTCCATTTATGAAAGTTTTTTCCTAATAAAATATATATTTAGCATCTTAAACATGCAAAAAAAAAAAATTTATCTGAATACTGCTGTGGAAATTAGAATTTCATATAGTATGATAACAAGGAACCTTCTGAATACGGTCTAGAGCACCCCCAGTGACAAAGGTTTCCTTTCCATTTTCATCAACTGTCATAGCTGAAAGTCTTTCCAAGGTTATGCCTGCTGCAAACGGATGGCCAGGATTGCTACACCATAGAAGACATAAAGCATAAACCCAAGACATAATTAGGATTGCTACCCAAGACATAGTTGACCGAAAACAGACTAACTAAATAGAATAAAACACTCATACAGGTTTTTCTATACCTCTCAAGATCCTCATATCTGATGTGAATATTTGAAATTGAAAGTTTCAAATTTCCAATTATTGTGCTGATCAGGGATCCCAACCATGATGTATTCTTCAAAGAGAAACAAATTACAAATAGTAAAATGATATCATAATAGATAAATTAGATATGAATTCCAGAAGAAGACATATAGCATTAAAATAATCACCCAAGATCAGATTTTAAACCCATATGCTGGAGCAAGGGAGCCTAAAATTAAGGTAAAGCCGTATTCTAAAATACAAGCAAACTTGGATTATGCTAAACCCTACCATTTCTGACTTTAGTTGCTGCGTCCTCTCCAACAGCTTCATTTCCATTTCCTATTTACAAGGCAAAAAACACATATGATCACTCAAATATGTAGTGGCAGAGAACACATGAATTCCACCACATAGATTACTGTGTCTTACCCGCACTCGATTCTTCTTAGCTTCCTGCACAGCATCCTCGCTAAATCCTTCAACTTGGGTTTCGGGTTCAGCTAATAGAAAAATGCGATCCAAAGAAACTAAAACTGGATCCTGGCCAAGCTTGCTCCATGGAACCTTCGTTCAAAAAAAATAATAACCTCATTGGAGAAATACAGTTCATAACAAATATCATAAGAAAACTTCTCAAAACCAAATATTATAACAATATTCCACACAAACAAAATATACACAGTAAATTAGAAAATGAAAATGTCTAGTAATAAAAAAGTACATACTAGGTGAAAACTGCAATTATCATATTATATGTTCATGTCAAAGTTAAGATGCATAATCTATATCAACTAAACATCAAATGCTGCTTTTGGAACAACTAAAAATATTACTCCAAGAAATGGAAATGAAGTCAAATTTCTCAACATTTCGTCCAATACAAAGCTGAACAACATTCAAAAGAAAATAATTCAACACAATTATAAAAAAAAAACAATGTTAGCCCCGCACCTTAAGTTTCACTGATCCAAGAAATCCTGCCTTAACCTTCACTGGCAATTTTAATGCATTGAGTGCCTCTGGCTTCAACTGCATATTTTTTAGCTCGACATCACCTGATTCGCATTTTGGTAATAAGTACATAATTAGCTTCTCAGGCTCTATCATAAGAATTTGATACTGCAGAACATGCACAATAGCATTTCTCTAACCTTAGAGTAACTGCATTTATAAAGCCAATGACAACTTAAAATGTACAATAAAATAAAGAAACCACAATTTATAAGTGATGGAGAGAATGTCATTCATATTCAGATACATAGTTACGTTGCTTCAAAGCAAAGGTAAAAGTTGTTCAGAGAAGCATAGATGGCTTGGGATGCTCCAGAGGGGTGTTATACTTGCTGAGAGCAAGGGTTTCGGTGGAGCGAAAAGGACCAAGGTCCTATGGAGCTGTAGATTTTGGCTATTTTATGGTTCATTTGGATTGAAAGTAACAAACAAATCTCTAAGGCTTTTAGAGGGACGGGAGTGTAGGAATTGCGGGATGGGGTGATTTTTCGGTCCTCTTTGTGGGCATCTGTTTCAGATACTTTTAGGGGCATAAGGCTTTCATCCATATTGTTGGATCAGAAGGCATCTATTACTTAGGTGTGTGTATTGCTGAGTATGATTGTTATTGCTCTGTATGCTGTAGTCTGTATTGCTGGGTATGGTTGTTAAGTGCTGGTTACTTATGTTTGATAAAACTAATGGGTGTTCTGATGGTTGAGTTTGGTATTGAAGTTTGTTTCATTGCTGCCAAAAGTTTAAAAACTGCATGTATATATGCATGTGAATGTGTGCATTGATGCCAAGTTTTTTGTCATTAAAGGTATCTAAATCCTACATTTCTAATGTCCCCCTTCAGAGATTTTCACTAAAATAATAACCAAAAAGAAAACCATTTAGTCGTTTAAATATGATCAAATAAACACAGAAATGATCATCATGATCAAATGAAGGTTAGACTAAAGCAAGTGCATAGCTACTTGCATAAGTGTTTCAATTTGAAACAACCCCAAGTAGCTAGTAGAGTGTCACTATTCAAATCATCCAAATCAAGTTATCTTCACTAAAGCCCTCAAAACCTGCCACTGGCACCAAGCTATCCTAAAACCCAAACAAAACCCTTTTTTACATCACTCAAAACGCACCGTCTGGGACCATTTCAAATTCAATCAACAGAAAACAACTCAATTCACAATCAAACCAATCAAAAGCACAAAACCAAAAGCATCAAGAAAACACTTTCCACAAGAAACGAAGAAAGAATCAAAAAAGAAGAAGAAGAAGAAGCAGCAAAGAAGCTACTCGAACCTTGCCACACGCTGATCTTGAGGGCCTCCTTGTTGAGCCCCCTCACGTAGTTGCCGAGGTACCTCTGCAAGAGGTTCGCCACCTGATCCTCCAACATCTTCGAGAAGAGTAGTCGAAAATCGCTACCTCATTCCGCGATTTTTATCAGAAACCGTGAGAGCTTTCAAGAACTGTGGAAATTAAATTTTCAGAATGAGAAATCGAACAAGGTAAAGACGGTGCTCGCAGAATGAGAAAAGTTTCCAGACCACGCTACGTACGTGCACGAATAGACGATGCGGCCCAGAGTTCCGTTCCTCTGCGTAGCGGATCAGCTTCTAATAATGATCGGTCCAATGATCTCTCGACGTGTGTGATTTTGGGTTCTGTGATCTTACGTGGCTGGTTTTTTGAGACGATTTTTCGCGCGGACTGTTCGTTGGGAGTTGGAGATTGGCAGTAGAAGGAGTATTAGGTGAGCTGGTATCTGCGGTTTGTGTGGTGGACACGAAGGTGAAGTGACGTCGTTTGTCGGACGGGTCTTTGTTTCGGGCCCCAAATGTGATTATTGGGTTTGGAGTTTTATTACCATTTTAGGTCTCTTTTTGGGACACACTGCCACGTGCCATAAAAGGTCCAAGCGTTAAGGGCGTTATACGCCACCTCGCCGCTCTCTCACGTGGTGATCTTATGCGATGTGGATCCCAAATTTTCTTTTTCTTTTTCTTCTTTTTCTTTCTTTTTTTTTTTTTTGTCTGAATCACGAGGTGGTCCTGGTCCTGGATGGGCCCCAACTATGGGTGGCACTTTTAAGTCTTAACCACAACCCAGATTAATCCCCGCTCACACCGGGTCGGCCCGTAAGGGGTAAAGTGCTGACCAAAGTGGTGACTCTATACGAGCGCAAGGATTGAATCCCTGACCTCTCTTAAGGAATGAGAGTGCCGAACCACTCACACCAACCACCTTGGTTTCTCCTTTTTCTTTTGGTTAAAGGTTCGAAGATTTTCTTTTCTTGTTTGTCAGAACATGAGAAATTACAAACACTAATCCAATTTGTAGAAAGCTGGCAAAACAGAATCTAAACACTAATCCAAAATGGAAAATACATTCATATTTTATTAAAATAATTTTTTAAGTGCTCATTGTCTCCCTAATTAGAGAATCTAAATGATTGCAAACCATCAAATGGGTGTATTGAGTAAATCAATTAATGAAGTGGCATATTTTTTTTTTTTGTAGAAGGAGTATTAGGTGAGCTGGTATCTGCGGTTTGTGTGGTGGACACGAAGGTGAAGTGACGTCGTTTGTCGGACGGGTCTTTGTTTCGGGCCCCAAATGTGATTATTGGGTTTGGGTTTTATTACCATTTTAGGTCCCTTTGTTGGACACACTGCCACGTGCCATAAATGGTCCAAGCGTCAAGGGCGTTATACGCCACCTCGCCCCTCTCTCACGTGCGATGTGGATCCCAAGTTTTCTTTTTTCTTTTTCTCCTTTTTCTTTTGGTTAAAGATTTGAAGATTTTCTTTTCTTGTCTGTCAGAACATGAGAAATTACAAACACTAATCCAATTTGTAGAAAGCTGGCAAGACAGAAGAAGGTAGAAAAATAATTATAATTTGTAGAAGAATACTAATGCATCACTCGCAAACTCATCTCCTAAAAGTTTCTAGTTAGATGATAGGGTTTTCGACTTATGCGGTTCCTAAATTTGTCCACGAGTTACATTTTAATCTTTTAATAATTAAATTATTTGTTTCAATGGTCTTTTAACTCTTTATTTGATTTTGGGTGCAAGACATTAAGGCTATTATGTTGATGGTCAATATAAATTGAATTCATTGAACAAGATTAATGAAGAGTGTTTGGAGTTTTACATACATGTGAAACAAGAACTCTAAATTATCATAATTCAAATAAGTCACTCGATCTAAAGCACCATGATTGTCTTTTTCAGTGTCGTTGATCTCTTATGATACAACGAAATCATGACCTAAGAAGAGTGTAACTCAAGTATTAGGTTGTACACTTTTCTACTTAGACTGAGGATGTATTGCTAGTTATCACTCATGGCTTGATTAAAGATCAAGATTATTCAAGTCTTCTTTGGCCACTCATAAGTATAATGATAATCAATTATGATTAAAATGGAAAATACATTCATATTTTATTAAAATGAGTTTTGAAGTGCTCATTTTCTCCCTAATTAGAGAATCTAAATGATTGCAAACCATCAAATGGGTGTATTGAGTGAATCAATTAATGAAGTGGCACATTTTTTGTTTATTTTTTCATACAAGCGATAGTCTAAATTACAAAATAAGGGGGGTTTCTCATACACACTACCAAGGTGGTATAAGGGTTCGAACTTGAGACCACTAGTCTGTAAGTTAAAGACATTTTCCACTATGCTAGACCCCGTCAAAGCCCCTCTTGGCACACTCGTGATTTTTTTATACTGAGTTATATATATATAAATTTAATATTGAAATGGTAAGTTTTGAAGGTAGTTGTCCCCTACTTCTATGGACAACTGCAGATAGGGTTTTCGACTTATGCGGTTCCTAAATTTGTCCACGAGTTACATTTTAATCTTTTAATAATTAAATTATTTGTTTCAATGGTCTTTTAACTCTTTATTTGATTTTGGGTGCAAGACATTAAGGCTATTATGTTGATGGTCAATATAAATTGAATTCATTGAACAAGATTAATGAAGAGTGTTTGGAGTTTTACATACATGTGAAACAAGAACTCTAAATTATCATAATTCAAATAAGTCACTCGATCTAAAGCACCATGATTGTCTTTTTCAGTGTCGTTGATCTCTTATGATACAACGAAATCATGACCTAAGAAGAGTGTAACTCAAGTATTAGGTTGTACACTTTTCTACTTAGACTGAGGATGTATTGCTAGTTATCACTCATGGCTTGATTAAAGATCAAGATTATTCAAGTCTTCTTTGGCCACTCATAAGTATAATGATAATCAATTATGATTAAAATGGAAAATACATTCATATTTTATTAAAATGAGTTTTGAAGTGCTCATTTTCTCCCTAATTAGAGAATCTAAATGATTGCAAACCATCAAATGGGTGTATTGAGTGAATCAATTAATGAAGTGGCACATTTTTTGTTTATTTTTTCATACAAGCGATAGTCTAAATTACAAAAGAAGGGGGGTTTTTCTTACACACATTACCAAGGTGATATAGGGGTTTGAACTTAAGACCACTAGTCTACAAGTTAAGGACCTTGTCCACTAGGTTAGACCCCGTTGGCGCCCCTCTTGGCACACTCTCACTGAATTTTTTATACTGAGTTTTATATATATATATAAAAATTTAATATTCAAATGGTAAGTTTTGAAGGTAGTTGTCTCCTACTTCTATGGACAACTGCAGTACATGTTTTTTTTTCCTTTTAATTTAAATACATTGTGAATGTATTATTTTGTCCCTATTTGATAAAGCGTCTTATGTTTTAGTATTTTTCATTAATCAATGGCAATTTTGAGGATTTTGAATATTTCACTTTTAAGGCCTTCTGCTTAGATTACATTATGTGGTTATAAGTTCAGGTCACATTCATTGGGCATGTGAACTGCATTCTTAGGAGCTTCACGTTCATCCACTATGTCGCAATTTTCTGAAACTCATTTTGAAATGGATTCCGGTTTGAGCGCAGTGATCTGGCTTTTTGGGCTAACCCTTTAAAGATGATAGATTTCCCTATGATAAGGACCAAGAGGTCTAATGAGGCTTTTTCTTGTATATGTATAAATGACAAGACAGAAACTAGGATGACCCAGCCAAAGTCGAAAACCCTATTATATATTTGAGTATATACAATATTGAAAGAAGCACTAAATTACATTATGAAATAATTATAAATTCACAATATATAGCTAATCATCTATAAGTTCTTTCTTGGAATTTCTATGTTGTTGGACGACCAAGATTGAGCCATTGATGTTGAAGTCTGAAGAAGCCAAGAGATCTCCTACTGTTCCAAGTTCAGGGCACTCTTCCCAATCACTGAGCTCAGTTGTCAATGGTGAGTGTCCTCGACCACCCCTCCCTACTATAAATAGAGAGTACAAGTCTCCAATGTCTCTTAGGGCTGCCACTGTTTCTGCTCCATTGTTCACCTGCTTCTCTACGTACCCAACTTTACCAGACGCCACATACCTACCCAACCAATTAAGACACAAATGTTTATTGAAAATATGCATATGCTTATTTTGGAACCAAAAAGAAAAAACTATAAGAAAACTTGATTAATAGTTATTCATTAACATTCTCGCCACATTATGAGGTGACTAAAAGCACTATCGTTGCGCAATAGGTATCATTCATAGTTATTCGTGCTCATTGTGCTATATATTATTAATGGTGTATTTAATCATCTCATCATGTCTCCTAATGGTGTCAAAGTTTGTATTGTTTCTTCTGAAAAACGACTATTTCTAAATGCATGTATTCCTTATATAATATCTTATTGACAATGTGAAAGTGGTGTATGTATGACATTTTTTACAAATTTAGAAAATATATGACTATAAAACAAAAACAAGTGCCAAATATTAGCAAATAAAGCAAGATAAATATAGAGGTGATACGTACCCATTATAGAAGTCATTGAGAAAGGCATTGTCAATGTCATTGCCCGTTTCTAAACTCGACAAGGCCATGTAAACCTCAATATCACTATTGCCCCCTATTTCATTCTCCACCTTCATATTCCGAGAGTTGGATGACTCCGTCGGCAAAAACCTAATCACCGTCAAGTTAACCCTAGGATGGTTTGCGATCCTTGTACTCCAAGCAATGGCCTCACGGTCATCGGGCCCCCCGAAAAATAGCGTCGCAACATGTTGCATAATGTCCACAGTAAACAGCTGCGAAAACCCTAGCGCTCCGGCCAGCCCTTTCTCGACAATCATCCCTACAGAACTCGGGGCGTGACGAAGAATCTTTTGATTTGTTGTCCGCACAGCGTCCTTCCCGGACTCCATCTTGCCGTCGATCCTTTGGTGCTTGTGAAACGGCAGCAAAATAATCGTCGCACGCAAGTCCTCAGCTGTGTTACACACCTCCTCATGTAAATTCGACAACGTGGACACGGCCTTGTTGAGGTTGATGAGGATCTGGGTCTCGGCAGTGAATGTGTCGACGGCTGCATGGATTTCGAGGACGTCGTTGCCGCCATAGTCTTCCTCGTCGCTCATTTCCTCAGCTTCGAGCTCGTGATACGACACGTTGGTG